TTATGGTTGTAGGCTACGGTATTCGGTTTGAGGAGTATTATGATCAGTTGAGAAAGTTGACTGGCATAGTGATCAAAAGATTTCTTCAGGATTTCAGTGACGGCCTCAACCGAAATGAAGGTTCGCAAAGGCACAACTAGTTGCAAGCGAATAGCCTCTCATCTAAAAGTTAACAGGGTTAGAAAATAGGTAGGAACAGAATAAGGCAGAAATGAAATCTAAAGCTGGAAGTATTATCAATTTAGCGTAACAAAGACGACTATATTTTGATCGTTGCTGATCAATTGGTATTTCACGTTCCCTTTTATTTTTCTTTGCTATGAAAAACTAGAAAGACCTTGAAAAATAAAGTTGAAACAGTGCGCCTTACCTACCCTGTGTTAAGAAAGTATTCTTTTCTTCATATTCCTCAGTAAGTGGGGCCATGAGAATGTTTCAGAGAATTAGAAAAGTAACGCTCATTAGGTTGCTAAATTCATGCTTTTGCGGTTAAAGCATTTGATAAAGTTGCTCTCATGACTGCAAAAGATGATTGAAATCTGTGAATAGAAACATGAGAAGAAAAATCCCTATGGCTGTATGGGTCGTACTATCGTCAGTGTGCCAAACACCGTCCCCTTCCCATTAGCCTTAACAGTGCGAACAAATATGCTATGCAATTCTGTGTAGAGCAGAGAGAATTCCAAATAAAGAAGATGTCCCCAATCAACATTTCTCAATCAATTGTATGCTTGAAACGAACTATGGTATTTCAAGAAACATGAAGAGCAGTATGTCTGCCAGATACTCCTTGTTATATGAAAATCCGTTATCACAATTACCAAATACAAATCTAGAAATAAAATTAAAGAACCCATAGTGATAACGCAGGGCAATTACACGAACAAAGCCAGAAAAAGATAGTAGGTATGAGTCTCAATTTATCAGTTTAATCTAATTTTGTTTTGCTATTTATCCTAAATGCACCTAATGCTTATCCGCTGTGATACCTACCAATACCCTGTTTAGGTTTACAAGTTGTCTTGAATGCCATCCTGCGAGCGATGATTCCTCTGCTTCATATTGCATTATTAGTCTTGTTTGTAATTTTAATCTACGCTATAATAGGCCTAGAGCTGTTCTGCGGGAAATTGCACTCTACCTGGTAAGTTTTCATTCTTCCCATATAGCATTCACCCTGGGAGAATTTGCTTTAGCGTTGACCCTGCCACCGGTCAGTTAGCTCAAAAAGATCCTACACCATGTGGAAATGAAGGCTCAGCGTTCCGCTGTATACCATCGGACGCCCTCACTGACATGGGTGTGAAATGGGAATGTTCGCCGAACACCACCTGGCCTGGTAGGTTTCAATCATTTGTTTCTAGCTTTTTGCACCTATTTTTGTTTAAAAAAAACAGTCATCTTCACTACTGGTTCATAGGCTGCCAAGCAAATCAAAATATACTATCTTTAGGGCTACCGCATAAAGCCAAAAGTTACTGGTGCAGATGCAGTTATAAAGAAACTTTTCCGCATGCGACCTCCTATGTAGCCTTAAGAATAATAAAAGACAATACACAGTGTCCCGGGAAATGTGATAGCTGATGAGACGACATATTTTTCATTTCTCAATCTTTTTTTAGCTGGGTGATTTATATGGAAGGGCGACCTTGAATTTAGATCTCAACTTATAAACGCCGTTCGCTACATCTCTATTATCTCCG